GTCCACACAGAGACCAGACCAGCAGACCTGTCTGTCCACACAGAGACCAGTCCACACAGAGACATGATGACTCACCTGGCTGGAGAGTGTGTCTTGAGCAGCAGGTCTTTCTGGATCAGTGTGCTGACCGATGACCAGGCTGTGTACTTGCTGCCTGGTTCCGGCTGCAGGCAGCAGAGAAGCAGCAGAGAGAAGGACCAGACAGCAGGTTTAACCTCACCGTGAGAAAACAAAGCTGCGACCAAGATGGGAGAGAGCTATGGGACACACACTCACACAGACACACTCACACACTCACTATACCAGAGTGAAGGACTTGTCACACAAAGGCTGGGCCTCCCTCTGCAGCTCCGACTTCAGCAGGAAACCGCAGCTGCCTGCAGCCTGAGAGGGACAGAGGGGACACAGAGGGCCAGGCGTCAGCTCAGGCAGCAGACTGAGAGCAGGGCGAGCACACTGTGAGCAGGGGGCGAGTACAGTACCTGGCTGTGCCGGTACAGAGCCACCAGCACTGCGTATCCTCCAGAGCCCTTCTGCGGGACGTACTCCCTGGCCCTCCTCCCCCCTCCACCCGCTGGCTGCCTCCGCTTCTGAAACAAAGGAGAGCAGAGGTGTGGTCTCACAGTGACCTGGGCCCTTCAGAGCTCCTCACTGCGCTGTGGCCCAGCCCGAGGGCCGCAGGACACACTCACCCTGGGAGACGCCTGGGGGCGCTCCGGGGGGGGCTCTGCGCTCCTGTTGCGTCGCGGGGGGGGCGCGTCATCCTCCGGGAGAGAGTGGATGGGGGCGTCCGGACCTGCAAGAGGAAAGACTGTCCCTGAGGGAGAGGAGGAGAAGGGATCCAGACAGAAGCACCCTGTCACCGTGGGAACGCCACACCGCGCCCCCTCGCCTCTCTCTCCATCCTATCTTCCAGAACAGGCGGGGAACAGCGAGGGACAGTCTGGCCCGCTCCGCGACAGTCGGGGGGCTCACACTGGCTGCCGGGACGCCGCCTCACCGTGCTCGGAGTAGTACTGCTCCAGGCGCTCGTCCAGGATCCGGCAGATCCCGTCTCCGAAGTGCTGCAGGATCTTGGCCTCCCTGCCGTTCCTCAGAGGGAGGGGGTACTTCCTCAGGGAGCCGATGGCCTGGGGGAGGGAAGCGCGCCGTTACCCCAGGGGCAGAGCGAAGGGCCGCGTCTGCCCCAGCGTCCTGCCCCTCACCTTCTGGTAGGTGAACTGCGTGCGCTGCCCCTTCTCCGCCGCAGAGTCGCGCAGCTCTGTCAGCCAGCGCAGGAACAGCGGGTTCGGGCACCCCGGCACAGCGCGCTTCCTGCCGAACTGCACCTGGCCTGACGCCATCGCCTCCTCGAACCCTGGACCCCGTCAGACTGCAGCTCTTCGAACCCTGGACCCCGTCAGACTGCAGCTCCTCGAACCCTGGACCCCGTCAGACTGCAGCTCCTCGAACCCCGGTCCCCGGACCCTGCCGGACCTCCACAGCGGGGAGGGGGGACAAACGGCGCTCTGAGCTGCAGCTGTGCCGTGGCGAGACAGAAACACGACAGAGACACCGAGCCGGCCCGGCAGTCACGCCGGGCAGCGCTCCGGACTGCAGCTGCAGGGCTCCCTTTGCCCCGGAGATACCCCAGCGAGCCTGAAAGCTCCCCACCAACACCAGCACCACTAGCCTTTCTTGCTCCCCGAAACCGCTCCGCTATTCAAACGCTTCCGGCTGCAGCCGAGCGACCATAGAGTTCATGCTGGAGCTAGAGCGCATAGAGAGAGGCCTTGAGAAAGAGCGCAGCGCTGCCTTGTGGTCATAGGGCGCTTAGCCGCGCCCTGTGACAGCACTAAGCAGGCTGGTGTTCACACCTCTTGCCAATAATCGGCTCCCTGCGCTGCCCGCTATGAGAGTAGATACGGTGTCTAACCAGAGGACACGCACGCACAGGGTGTTTCTAGGTATTACTCCTTCTAACAGCTTCGTCAGTAACAGCAAAACAACAGGTGAGCTGATGGAATGACCACTAGAGCCAGGAGTTAACTCTGTCCTGCCCAGACACTTGCAATGGGTAGTGTGTATGTTGTGTTTGTGTACTTGTAGTGTGTGTGGCCTGTGTGTTCAGAGTGTGTTGGTGCTGTGAGGTGTGGTGTGTTTGTGTTTTTTGCTGTGTGCTATGTGTGTTTAGTGTGTTGTGCTATACTGTGTGGTGCTGTGTGAACAGTACAGTCACTGTGCATTCAAAAGCATACAGAATGTGTGTATGTAGTTGTGAGTGTGAGTGTTTGTAAGTGTGTGGATTTTGAGTGGGTGTGTGTGTGAGAGGTTGTGTGTGCGCAGTTGAAGGTGTGTGTGCAGTTGAAGGTGTGTGAGGTCGTGTGCTGTTGTGGGTGTGTGTGTGTGGTTCACTGTGTGTGTGCTGTTGAGGGTGTGTGTGGTTCACTGTGTGTGTGTGCAGTTGAGGGTGTGTGTGTGGTTCACTGTGTGTGTGCAGTTGAGGGTGTGTGTGTGGTTCACTGTGTGTGTGCAGTTGAGGGTGTGTGTGCCGTTCACTGTGTGTGTGCAGTTGAGGGTGTGTGTGCCGTTCACTGTGTGTGTGTGCTGTTGAGGGTGTGTGTGGTTCACTGTGTGTGTGTGCAGTTGAGGGTGTGTGTGGTTCACTGTGTGTGTGTGCAGTTGAGGGTGTGTGCCGTTCACTGTGTGTGTGTGCTGTTGAGGGTGTGTGTGCTGTTGAGGGTGTGTGCGCGCACTCTACCCTGTTCCATCCCTCTGTATCCAGCAGGATTCCGTTAGAACACCGGGAGGGAAGGGAAGACGCTGGGCAGCTCGCTCTGAATTCCCTGGGCAAGACGGAGCACGCCTCAGGAATCCGCTACTCTCGGGAACAGTTAGAGGAGCTGGGATCAGGTCTCTCCTTCCGTTCCCTTCTCCATGTCTACCCCTCCCTCCCTCCCTGCCCATCTCCTGGAATACGACGGTAATGAGCAATGAATAAGAAATCAGAGTCAACACGTGGAAGGACTGGCCAGGGCACTGGACCCCTCTTTAATATCGTACAGCTCTGTCTGCCCCCCAGTCCCCCTGCCCCGCCCCAGCCACCCACCCACGCCTCTGAGCACAGTGCCTTGCACAAATCCACACATAGAAAAACAGCACCACCTACCCATTCCTGGTAAACACATTTCACCTTGATAAATAAGGAATATACAATTTCCAGGGAATATCCGAATTACTGCCATCCTTTATCAACTGTACAAAACATTACACATAAAACTCCAATAAAAATACAGTGTTGTCAATAAGACTCCCATTGCACAGCAATCTAATCCACTCCAGGATCTGCAGTGTTATCAGCCAGACTCCTCGTGCACAGCAGTCAAATCCACTCCAGGTTTTACCACCATTGTTCAAAACGCATGTAGAAGCAACTATATTCTCTGTAAAACATGGCATGGTTCACACTGCTTTGCACAGGGAGTCTTGGAAAGAATAATTTTCTTTTTTGTTCAGAATAATTATTACTTCTTTTTCTGCTACCACATGCATCAAAGCAGAAAGGATGAACAACATGATCTCTGGGATATATTCTATATGGCACCAGAAAAATGACCAGGTTTATGCATTTCAGGTTTTATCTGCTACAGTTGATCCCACTCTGCCACCACAGGGTCTCCTGCTGCTACAGCAACAGCCGGGTTTGCTGCTACTCCCCAGCCTGAGGTCCCTGAGGTTCAGCCACAGTTCAGTTCAGCATTTCCATCTGGAGACTCAGAGGGATCTCAAGGAACCATTAACTTCTCCCGGTATCTCCAGAATCCCGCAGTCAGGTAGAGTCAGAGACTCATGGAGCCCCCAAGAACACAGCATTTCTCTGCCCTAGGTCACCCAGGGCTCTTTTGGGGGACAGGGACCCCTGTATCTGCACAGCACCAACTCAGACACAGCAATTCCACACAGGGCAGGCACAGCATACAAAACACTTTCATTTAAAAACAAATAAAAACATTTCCCGTGCCCACGTCCAGTCCCAGTCCCAGGATCCGTTCTGTCCTGAACAGATCGCAGTATTTTGTGTGTCAGACAGCCGTGCCGCTCAGGGCCCGGGCTGGGGTGACTCTCTCCCCCCTCGAGTTTCGGGTGGTGTTTGAACTTCTGTGGCCGCGGCGCTCGGAGCCAGAGGGCGGAGGAAGAGGCGGGGAGCAGCGGCCTTCACCTTCCAGCAGGACAGAGCCGGGAGCAGCCCCCCCCGCTGGCCGCGCTCAGGGCTGCGGCTCGTCGTCGCTCTGCAGGGGCGAGCCGCAGTGCAGGGCGCCCGCCAGCCTCTTGGCGGTGGTCTTGCGCAGCAGCGGGCTGTGGGGGTGCGCGTCGTGCAGGTGCTGCAGCAGGGAGTCCTGCGTGGGGGCGGTGTAGCCGCAGTCCTCGCACACGTACAGCTTGCTGCGCCGCTCCTTGTAGGCGTACTGCTGGGTCACGCCGTGGATCTTCTTCATGTGGGACTCCAGCGAGCAGCGCTGCGTGAAGGCCTTCTCACACTGGCCACACTTATAGGGCCGAACGCCTGGGGGCAAGAGGGAGCAGACATTAGATCCCACTGCCCCAGCCAGAGATCCCACTGCCCCAGCTAGAGATCCCACTGCCCCAGCCAGACATCCCACTGCCCCAGCCAGAGATCCCACTG